TCAGAAGCGATCATGCTACGGTTTCGCCGGCGTCATCCGCTCGGTTATCGAACCGTCCTCGCCTCCTCCCGCTCGGCCGACCCGCGAAATAACAATCCGTTATCGTTGGCCCGCGGTGTTTTATAAATAACAATGAACGGCCCGACAAGTTTATCTCGCGGCCGGCCGCCTACTCGCGGCGGAATTGTCGCGGGGCAAGACACCGAGATACCGATTCATTTCGCTTAAGCCGAGAAAACGCGCGGCGAGCGGCATTTAATGTTCCCGAATACAGTGATACACTGTTTATTGCCGACAGCCCCGCGGAATTTTGAGCAGGCGCAACGCCATCGCCGCGCCGCGCCGCGATTTTATTTCATCGCGGCCCTTGATTGCGCGGCTAATGGCGAATAAATCTCGATGAACGTCGGGGAACTGAACGGCCGCGCCGCTCAGCCAATAGAAAACTCGCGAGAAGGCTTGGATGTTCACTCGCTAACCGGAAGTAACGAATTAACGCGTCCGTCTTGAGTGTCTTCGAACTACCTTTCGTCCTAGTGTTCCTCGTTACTGAACGATCTGTCGATCGGATGAAATATTTCAAATATTTATAATATACCGATACTATTCATAAAACCTAGAATAATATTAACCCCTTCACTTGCACGCTCGAGTTAATTCGAGCGCGCTAAACAGGCCAAACTGTGAAAATAACAATGTGAAAGCAAAGAAAAAAAATCGTTTTACTGATATTTATCATTTACATGGGATTTTAAGCTATGACACTTATTTATTCAAGAATAAAATATAGCCTTTTTCCATGGAAGAAAAGCACAGTATATCAAAATTAATTTTTTTGGTTTTTTTCAAAAAAACTGTGCGTTAAGGGGTTAATATCCTCGTCAATTATTTATTCGCTTTCTCAAGCACGTAAAATACTTCAATCTCGCTTCAGTCTATTCTACTGTATCCTCGGCGTTGATCTCATTACGCTCAAAGAGATTTTTAATTGCACGGTTAATTGGTTAACAGTCCAAGGGTCAAGGGGTCGAGTAAATCTGCACGGAGGTCGGCACCGGAGGGTAGGTCGGCGAGAAATTCGGATCGAGCTCGCGCACGGACGTCCGCCGTTATTTTTCGTAGGAATGAGAATTTAGTTAACCGGTAGACCGAGAGCGATTTCAAAATTCCGATCGGTCGCGGCCGAGGGCGCGCGGCGGTCTGAGGCCGGGGGGAGCGGGCTGGAACCGGCGCGGAAAACAGGGTGTGGCGCGTGAGAGCTGGCTCACCTGAAACAACACAACGTTTTCAGATCGCTGATCCCATAAGCGTCCACGTTTGATCCCTCTGTTGTTTTGCGAACGCACTCGCCCGCCTCCCGGTTAATTCGCGAAAAGCTGTAACCGCATTCTTCGAGTCGGCCGGGAGCGGGTCGGGTCTTCGAGCCACTCTACCGGAAATCGTATCGGAAGCCCGCCGTTCTTTCCTCTTTCATTGTTTTTGCGACGCGCAACCGTTGGAGTAACTCGAACTCCGGGGTTATGGTTCCTTGCAACTGTGTTTTTAACCATGTACACCGAAGATAGCATTCGATGACTCAGTTAGCATTTGATATGGGAGTATGAAGTCTTATATATATCGAGCTGTGTACGATCCATCGATATGGAATATTGGAATAAAATAGTTTTATTCCTGTACGTTACTTTTCTCGTTAGTTTCGATGTGTTGGAGGATGTTGAATATTTCTAGTGGGAAACCTAAAGGGTTGATTGCATAACACGTTCACTGCCATGAGAATTTTAGGTCTTATTCTTTTATGACAATGACGAATCTTGTAGCAACCCATTCGCTAGCATAAAATGTGATTTCATTTGTACTTTCAATTTATTTTAATCTCTTGCTACGTGTATATTCGTGACGCAGTGAACGGGTTAAATTGATGTTCAAAGAATTATAGCAGCACGTTTTTAATAGAAAATATCTTAACGATTCCTCCGATCGAGAAAGAAATCCGAAACGGTTCGTTTCGATTCTCCGGCGGCGGGAGCGCCGATTAAAAGGAAAAAGTTCGCCGCCCCTTTTGGAACAGAGGCACCGCTCGTCACGAACGAGTTGACGCGGTTATTTTTTTCAATTGCGCTCTTTAGCCGGTGGGCTGAAGAGAATTTTTGTCGAGAGGGGGCGAGAAGAAAGGCGGCGGCGGGGCACGGGGCGACTACTCGTCAAGTCATGCAGAATAGTAGAGATATATCGCGGCGTAATATGCAAAGCGGATCGGATGTACCCGGCGGGGGGGCGAGACCGGGAGCCAAGGGGTGATTAGCGGGACAAAAGCTGGCGCCGCTACAAGTGGAACCAAATTGGTAGAAAATTGATAATCAACCGCCAATATCAACCTCCATTGGGAACGGTGGCTCGTGGCGGTCCAGGGGAAGAGGGCGGAGGATTACGTGGAAACACGCGCGAAATATTTGTCCGGGGAAATATAAAAAGAGACGGGAACGATACGTATCGATACCTTCGCCGGCGAGTAGCTGTGCGCGAGTGTTAATCGACCGGCTGCGTGTCTCTTACGATGTATATTGAATAATTTCCGTGCGATCGACTTCGATCGCTTTAGAAATTCAACTATCCTACGCTTCTCTAACGCACTTTGAACAGTTTTGATTTAATTTAGTGGAGCTACTGGGTCGGAGTGTCTCGTTAATTTCTCGTGGAAATCGGATTCGTCGAGATTCGAAGCGCCCTTTGTCAAATTCCTCGTAAGATCCCCGTACTTTCGGTAATTGCTGATGAAACTTCATCGCGTGGTTCTGGCGTGAAAATTGTTCGATATCTCGTTAATTATCGCAGCGCGTTTTATCTGTTTACATAAGAACAAGATTCCCCATTTCCAGTGCTCGCGTTAAAATCCAATTGATCCCTCGCCGATAATCGTAACGCGGGCAATTAATCGCGGCCGGCGAGCAGCGTGTTTCGCAAGCAATTTCTGGAGAAATTTACATTGTATTTCAGGGGCGGACGCGTCCGGGAGGAAGCGGAGGGCCAGGAGGAGCCGGTGAATAATCGACGAGCCAACGGGAAGAAAAATTGAGCGACCAAGAAGCGGGATCAAACGCGTCGAGTGTAAAAACAGCGTTCGGTAAGGAGCGAAGCCGTCGACCAACCCCACTGTGAATGGAACACGTGTACGGTGTCGCGTCTATCGACAAAGTTCATCGTTGTAGAAAGGAAAAAAACGAAAAGGAAGAGGAAGAGAAAGAGAGAGAGGGAGAGATCGGTTGAAAGAGTTTCCCAGAATGTGAACCGTGACAGGGCCATGGTGGCGAGTGCGTAATCGAAGGAATCGTAGAACACTTTTCTCATGCAAATGCGCCCGATGCGGGCCTCGGAGAAGGGACAACGAACTTCTCCGTTGGCCCGACTGAAACTTCGAACTTAGGTCCTTTTAAATTTAAATGATTCCCCCGCGCGCCGCGCGCACACGCTCGCGATGGCACGATAATAAAACGGGCCAAAGGACGCGGACTAGGCGACGAATAATTTTAGAACAATTCCTTCCTGGCGACGGAACGATGGCAAATCATTCTACGTTTGGAACGTTCGATCCCGGAAACCGACTGCGAATAGATATACAGGGTGTTTCTGAAGTAGGACCTGGAAGCTTTATTCTAGACGAGCGAAAGGAGAAAATAGAGCGATGTTTTATATTATACTTCGTGTTCTAGATAGATATTTCAATTGAAACATCTACGTCGTTCAGTATAAAGTAATAGAAATTATACAAGTGAAAGTAATTAACTTTCGAATATTCCAAAATTCTGAGGTATGAATTAGTCTCCCGAGATTTAACTGAATTCCAATGGTGCTTCTAAGTTACCAGTACACGTAGTCGATCCCCAATCGCGCCGCCATTTCAGGAACACTCTGTATATAGAGAAACGTTTCCGCGTCGTACGCGTCGTTACGCCCGCGGAAATTTTACAGCGATCGTAAAAGAGCGACCGAGCGTGCTCCCGCCTCGGTGATTATTAAAACGAATAAAATTTTCAGGCTGTACGTAATAATAAGCGGCCGCGAGCGCGAGCGCGCGCGGCAGCGGGCCGGCGGCGCGGCGATAATTACGAGAGCGTCGGGGATCGCGGCGCGGTAATGTTAAATATATCAAAAATTATCGTTCCGGCGTGCGCGCCGCGCGGCCGCGGACGATCCGATGACCAGAAAAATATTTGCCTATAACGTGTGGCCCGGCGGTGTCGCAGCTGGATACGCGGTCGCATTTGAAATTCGGATTATTATAATCGCGGCTCGCGTTCGCCGATTAAAAGCGAGGAACACCGCACACGCTCGCGCGCGGGCGCGGAGACGTTTTCGATGATATAATTATTATAAAAGAGTTACACGCTGCGACGCGCCTACGGGGCGAGCCCACTAAATCGGGGATTCCATGCGCATTCGATTAAAGAACTGGATTGTAACGCGTTCACCGTTGTACGGCCCTTTTTTACTTGGAGAATAAAGAGCAGAGAGAAACCAGGCGGAAGAAGGAAGTCAAATATTCTTCGATCCAATCATACGCTTGATCCCTTGCGTTAGTGTCGTGATAGAAATTGTCGAATGATAGCAAGTGTATTATATTCATTTGAAATTAAATGTTACTTTCCTTATCAACCGTTCAATTTTACGTAGAATTTTAATAGAATGTAGAATTTTTCCCTGTTGCTAGTAAGTTGTGTTTAATGAAATGAGAGAAGTATGAATGGAGAGTAATTGTGACGATGAATTAACCCTCTGTGGGCCTATGTAACACTAGATTTACGGAACCCGTCAATTCGACGGATACTGAATTTTTCAAGCATTATTTAGTAACAGCTTCCGTCGATTTCGCTTCATTATGCGAATACGTATTGCAATTCTCTAGTTTTCAAACTACAATTTTCGCAATTTACATAGACGAGTACGTAATTTTCTAGGAACAATGGAATAAAGTGCAGAACAAACATCCGTGAATCTAGTGTTAAGAGGGTCGTGGAAGAAATTATAGGGTAAAGGGTTGATGCCTATATTTTCAGATTGAGTTTACCGAGAGAGCTCGATGTTAATCCGTGACACTGATATTAAAGAGGGATTCTTTTTAATGGCGGCGAGCCGGCCGCGCGACTGTAACCGTGATTTCCCGAGAAAGAAAGAGCGGGCGGAGCAGGAAGGAAGAGTTTCCTCCCGTATCCATCCGCGGTGACGCGCGAATCAGTCCGTGCACAGAGAACGAGAGCGACAAGGTAGAAGGGACGAGTTATTAAAATGTAAATATGAATCGACAATCTGTAACGCGGCGCGCCGCGTTAAGCACGTGTGCCGCTGCCGTGTAGATAAACGTGTCGCGAATATTCGCGAGCGATGGCTCTCGCAAATGGGCTCGACGAGAAACTTGTTCCTA